AGACAAAAAAAAACTGTAAAATCACGGGTTTAATACAATAAATCTATGGGCCTGTTATTTCTTTCCTAACAACTTGCCAAGCGTGGCAACTATGGCAAATATCCCCCTACGAGGCAATCTATGGGTGAGGCCTATGTTTAGCAGTGGACTTTTACAGTCTGTATCGAGTCAAGGTCTTGTACTAGCACACTATAATATAGTCAAACTAATACCATTCCTGTTAATTATTTGTATCAAAAAATCCATTAACATGGTAAGGTAGATAATGGCACCACTTAGCAAGAGTAGTTGTGTAACGACCGATGACAGATTCCCGTCAGTTATCCATTAGCGGACTAACAAAGGCAAAAAGTTTTCCTAAAGGCGTTTCTCGACTTTGCATCCTTAACGAATCGTTGTGAAAGTAACAAGTGGCCGTATATTCTGTGTTTCATTTAGCAGAGCAATAAAGTTGGAGTGTGTGCTCGCGAACTCCTAACGACACATTACTGGTGGCTAATGGACCGGCTAAAACAAATTTCCTCTCTGAAACTGCCACTTAGGATATTTCCACTTCAGACGATAAACAAAGACTGTTTGTCGTGAAGCGATCACATAAACTCTATATTGGTAATCGCTATCGTATATTAAATTTAATTAGCTTTAGCTAAACGCCATTTGACGTTAATAAGATCAATTTAGTTACGATAGAATCTAGTCATTAAAGTCCATTCCCTAGGCTTAGGTCATGTTATGCGGATATCCGAATATCCAAATTTTTCGAATATATATCGAATATAATATTCGGCTAACATTAATTTTACTATCCGTATAAAAATGGAAACTCTTTTAAGACGCTTCTTAATTAATAACTTAATCTGTATAAGAATGGATGAAATGTATTTTTTTATATTCAACGTTCACCCACTTCCATATGTCTGACAAATCTGATATTTAGCAGACTTAAAAAGAACCGATGATAGTACAATAATTTCATGTTTTTGAACTAGTCAAACTAGGATCATCACGGCTCATTATTATTTCTTGTTTTATAGAATAAGGGGTCACACACTCAGTCGCTGTGTGACGGTAAATGGATAATGTGGCCAATAGACATCTACATCTATTCTCGATTAAGAATCAAAATGTAGATGCGTTGTCACCTGTAAGCAATAACATATTAAGCAAGAGGAATACCTCGTTACCAGTAAAATACGTTTCCGGTGCTGTACACTCAGCATACGAAAATGGTGCTACTCCGATCGAGCCGATCCATTCGTGTTACAGTAACCGAAAACCTAATGCCTCGTTCTGTCTCTATCACTTTAAGTCAAAGTGAGTGTGATACCACGAGACTTAACATCTTAAAATTGTGTAGCGTTTGAGTATTTGGCCATAAGACTAATAACTTCTTTATGTAGACTAATTATTATGAATATTAACTACTTTTTGTTATAAGTAAGATGGTTACTATTACATTTTTATTTAAGTAAGGGACACAAACATTTAAATGATTAATTAATTTAACGTTTTGTGAACACATGTACATCCATCGAATTTTAAAGTCACTAAGGATTCTTCTCGCTTTTTAAAATCTCCGTTCGTTTGTTTCGTTACTTCAAGGGATGTAAATGAATTCCTCGTATTAGTTGTGTTGGGTTAGATTTATTAGTTTCGCTGCTGATTTATTAAACCGTTGGCCTTTTCTTTCTGAGTAAATAACACGCTTTTACCTGTTTCTGTCGGTAAGCAGGAGTACATTCATTATTATATCCTAGTTTGAATGATATGGAGATCACATCATAATACATAACTTATAGCAATATCTGCATCTACAACGTTATTTTAAGAACAACTAATTTGAGGCGTGTACCACTGTACACGGCTCAATTACGTATGTATTTACTTGTTGGTAAATGTTAAAAGAAAGCAGCGCAGAAGCAGCAAAACAAACTAAATCTCCATCACAGCCTATAAAATTCCACTGTTGAACATAAACTTACCCCATAGATTGTCTCGTAGGGGGATTGTGCCATAAGTGCCACGCTTGGCAAGCAGGTTGGTAACCTCAGGCTTTTATTCTCTTCAGTTAGTAAGACACTGCTGCCCATATCCAGATTCATTTTCCCTGTGTCGCCTCTTACGACACCCGCGGGACGATATGGGGTAGTCTATATTCTTACACCGACACTACAAGGCAGAGGCATTCCATATTAGTTTATCAAAGGTGACAATTTAAGTGTAGCCTTTTAAGCCGTTTTGAATCAAATTTAAGTTGTTAGAGTAACAGCCTTACATTAGAAAATATTCCTATAAAAATATTAATGAATTTGAAACATACTACCATACAACAGTACATAAGTACTTGGATTGAGACATTTTTAGCTCGCATGTCATTTTAATTTAATAATAAAATATACTTACTCCAGCTCTTTGCAAAACAAATTTTTTCCAAACAAGCTTTTGAAAATTTACGTGGAAATGTACACAAAAGAACTGTCTTCAAAAACTTGACATCGTTAATACCTGTACGAAGTCTCTTATTGTATCACTAACAGTGTACCTATTCAACGTTCGTCTAAGTGAGGTTATTATTAATAACTTTTGAAAGATCTCGTACAAAATAGACATTTTGAAAAGTTCCCTCATGTCGAAAATTGAGTCGAGTCACGTCGCAACCTGTCGCCTGTCATTCAACTGAAATTACACGATCAATATATGTGATGTTTGATATAAAAACAATATATTGAATTGAAAAGACTAAAAAACCTTTTTTGAAAATGGAGTGTGTGAATATAATATATTTTTTTATATTTTATTTAAAGGATTTTCGTTATTATTAACATGTTAGTCCCATTGTACCATGTAACTAAATAGCACAAAACAATTTATTTAATTACTTATACAATACTTAATAAATGATAAACGATTTGAGCAGTATCTGACAGTGGTTCAGAGAGTATACCTACTTTAATATTCCCCTATGTTATACCTACATTTTAATGTCAGTTTTGGCGACCAGTAGTTTCCTCTCGTGAATATAATATTTATAATCAACTCGACCACAGCGCTACATATCGGGCCCATATTTTGTGATTTACTTTATTTTTTGCACTAAACCAACACATAATGTATACATGTCTCATTTTGATCCATAAATATAGAATTTATGGAGTATCACTTGACTACAGGGCCACCTATCGGATCTTAGTATAGCAAGGAACCATCGTCTCGTCAAAACAAGATATTGTGTAAGAATAACCTCAATTGGTCAATGTTACACGATCACTAACAGACGAACCAACGATTGTACGTTGTAAATATATCTTATGTTTCATATTTTGGTAGGGCCACGTTGCATCTCGAATGGGTAACCCCCACGCTCTCACATAATGCCATCGTGGCAAAATGGAGTAGAGAACGGAAAATCCTCTTTAGTCTTTAGATGCTTGGTCTTTATGTCTTCCAGTTTAGTGCATATAATCTAAGCTGATAATTATAACTAATTTTTATTATAAAATTAATTTTCATAACAATAGCCAGAAGACTAGTATCGTTAAGTTTGGAATGGGACGGTGTTTTGTGGCAGCGGACCTCTGAAGGGCTGTTATGATGATGATGATGAAGGTGGTGTTGATAGTGTCATCACCCTTAGTAGAGTGAAATGTCACATGTGCAGTGAGATTTATATAAACTTGCAGTCAATATAAACTTATTATTGTATCCTTTCCGTTAAATTTAGACGTGCAATTGAAAGCGGATGCGATGCGTCCCGTCGCGTCGGTCCATTTGTAGGTTGTTTGCTGAACCATTAGCACTGGTTAGTTGTTTGTCCAACGGGTGACATCCAATGCGTTGTGCAGCAATGTTGCAAATTTTTGTTATGGCCGAGATTAAACTTTTTTAAACCACTCTAAATCGACTGAACTTACAGTCCAGTAAGTGGCTACCGCAGTCCATGGTCACCTGGATCAACTTCAAACCAAGATCCATTGCCACATCTGTAGCCTACACATGTATTTTCACCTTTGAGGACTATGTCACAGACTGCATACTGACTGTATACCCTTCAAAGGAAAGTGATATGATGACAGAAAAGGAGTCCTGTCTATCACCTAGTAAGACTAAAACAGTAAAATTCTATCAAATGAAAAGGCTTAATATGTTTTAAGTAATGTTGAGAACACGTTTTTATAAATTCATTACTACTTTACTACTAACTTAAAAAAATAAATAAGTACGACGTTATACGTTGTTTTTTCTAAAATTCTTCCCGTTTTATTAATTCGCTCGCCATTTTCGGTGAGCGACGTTTCCGTGCCTGCACACTGTACTACAAGACGGCTTTAAGCTTTAGGATAAGTTCGGTGCGGCGCGGGCGGACCTTTTGCACGCACGAGAAACTCACGACCATGTATTACAGTATCCTAAGTATCCAAGATGTATGCTTGGGGTTGGGCCTTAACCAAAAGATTTTATCCAATATCATTTCTACGTGGTAGAAACACTCTGCAGACATATTATGCTTGTAGCACGAATGTTTTGTTTCGTTTGCTGTGTGTAGAGAACTGGACACCCATTTTACTGGAAACAAAGCATTCCATTTTAGTCGTCAAGGGTGACAACGCATCTGCATTTTGATTCTTACTCGAGTATAGATGATAGTCCATGGGCCACAACATCTACTTACTATCGGGTGGATTGTGTGCTCTTTTGTCACTCTTATTCCAAAAAAAAGTTCACTGAGACCACTACTCATTAGTGAACTAATAATTCGATTATCCATTCATTACAGCCTATTAAAAGTCTACTGTTAAACACAGGCCTCCCCCATAGATTGCCTCATTTGGGGGATTTTATCATAGCGCCAAATACAAAGTTGTCACTACACTACACACAGCACACACTACACTGACTAATGATTAATTGGACTAACAGCACTATTTTTAACAAGATACGTAGACCTACAAAAGCTACGTTACTCTACGATCACTAACGCAGCGTCTGTCTGTTTGTCGCAGGTATTAAATGTCCGGTGTGCAGTAAGTTCGTGCTGCCGGACGACATCGAGTGCCATCTGGTCATGTGCCTCACCAGGCCCCGACTCTCCTACAACGGTCAGTATTGTTTTTAATTATATTAATAAAAAAATGATAAAAAATATACGGCCTATATACGTCCCACTCCAGAACACAGGCATTATCTTCTTCTTCTTCTTCTTATTCTTAAGAGGGTTTTAGGGCAAGGCGCTGCCAATGCATGTTTGCGGATTTCACATGCCTTCGAAAGATTTTTTTTAAATTTCTCAGACTTACTGGTTCACTGGCGATGTTTTCCTTCATCGCTGGGTACGTGGTAAAACAGCACTTAAAATTGCAACAAAAATTTTTATTGGTGCCGGCGGGGTTCAAATCCGGGTTGCTCGCGTTCTGCGCAATTTAGAGCGAGTGATTAGTGAGTTACCGCGGCTCTACACACAAGTGTTTATTTACAAATTACGTATATTTGCAACAACCCGCGTAAAAGACTGTTAAAAGCTACTGAAATAAACTAAAAAACATACTCTAGCCTAGGTGGTACCATCTGCTTGGGATTCTACCTTCTTTATATAATAATTCTTCTATACGTGTGTTTTTGTGAACTACTAACAGCTGGACCGATTTTGATGAAATATTTTGTGTGTTATTCTGGATAGTTTAGATTCACAATGGGACCCGGTATGTGGTTAGGTAGGTAGGTAGGTAGGTGGCGCTGTTGTCGAGATGCAGGAATCACCCGTGTGAAGCCGTGACGGATCTTTAGAAATTAATAAAATTGAAATCCCAAACTAAGCATACCACTGCAAGACTTCAAGATACTGCGGCGATACAAGCGGAATTTAACCGTGGTAATGTCGTAAGAGATAACAATGAAATGGAAACCAAACGTGGCAAATATTCCCCCCCCCCCCCCTCATCCATTGAAGCAATCTAATAGGTAGGCTTGTGTTCAACAGTGCACTTTTATAGGCTTTAATGTATGGATGGGATTATTGGTTCACTAATGACTAGTGGTGACTCTGAGTTAAGCGTTCGCCTTAATAATAATAATGTCGTCCAGACCGAATTGCGGTCACATCTGTCTGCTTTTGAACTTTTGATAGGCTGTAATGGATATATGAACAGGGGTTAACTGTGAGTCATTGGGACATTTAACCAGCTAATAATTTTATCACATAGACGGTGTTTGTGTAAACACAACAACATCAGCTATGCTAACGATGCGGTACTTTTGAGCCCATCGATGGGAGCCTTACGAAGATTGTTGCATATAATATGCGAGTCGTATATTGTGGCTCATATACTTAAAAATAACTCAACTAATAATAATAATGTCCTCCAGACCGAATTTCGTCACGGCGGCCAGTCTCAACAAAGACTAGACATCTGCGCAGGACAGGATTATAGTGGTCGAGTGTATGCGTAAGCGCGGGTGCACTCTTTATTTCCTGCCTCTCATAGTCCGATGAGCGGCAAACCGACACGACTAGAGAAAGATCAGGCGTAGGACCAACTGTTTTACGTGCTTTCCAAGCATCGGTGGTGAAACACCGCCAATTTCCTGACTCCGGGCTGCATCTGAGAATTTCTCCACAGAGACACCCAATAACTGATTATGGCCCGACCCGGAATTCGAACCCGGGATCTCATGATCTGCAACCGCGTTCACAACCACTAGACTAAGGAGGCAGTCGCATAACGCAACTAAGAGTGAGCTAATGGTTTTTAAAGCGGGTAAAAATGTTATATAAATGTGCCTCGAGCAACATTATGCGAAACACCGTTAAAACTCGTTAATCGGTTCTAATATTAGGGTCATTGGGTCACAGATACTTTAAATGATGACATTGATATAAAAAGGGCGTGTAACCGTGTAGTGGCGGTGTAATAATATCCACTACTCCAAATTGTCGCGTCGGTGTCGGAAGATGCGACAGAGGGACAGTGAACCAGGAGATGGTCAGCAGCATTTCCCTAATAATAAAACGCCCATGAAGGGTTCCGTAGCAGCAAATAACATAATTTACGATTTATGACGTATTAAAAACTAACTCCAACGGATATAGAAGGGGACCGATACGCGGTGTGTGCGGGCAATATGTTAAACTAATGCTTTTTAAGGCGTGTTGTCAGTCTTATTTCACGTGTGGTCTGTGGGTTTACTGCACACAGCGAGCGTACAGGCATGGTGGCATTATTACCGTATCACCATTAGAATTAATTTTCTGTTTCAGAGGATGTGCTGAGCGACTCGAAGGGCGAGTGCGTGATCTGCCTAGAGGAGCTCTCCGCCGGCGACACCATCGCGCGCCTGCCCTGTCTCTGCATCTACCACAAGGGGTGGGTACCCAGCTCTAATTCTTCTTCTTTCTTTTTTTCTTTTCTATTAAAAAACGTTACCTCCATACTTACGTGGTAGAGCCATGCTGTAGCTATATTTCTGGTATAGTTGTAACACGAATAGGTCGTCTCGACCGGGGAAGGACCACGCTCTCACGGAATACCAGCGTAAAATAGCAGCTTAATGCTGCTGTGTTTCGTATGGTGAGTGTAGAGAACCGGAGACCCTTTTTACTGAAAATGAGGCATTCCATCTTAGTCCTCACGGGTGACAACGCATCTGCATTTTGATTCGTAATCGAGGCTAAATGTAGATGTCTATGTGCCACAGCAACCACTTACCATCAGGTGGACTGTATGCTCGTTTGTCACCCATATCCTATAAAAAAAATATACTAATATTTTCTCCTGTATCGTGAGGTCAGTTTACATACATAAATTTCACAAGGATCATTCACGCCCGGAAAAAATATTTGTAGGCTATACAAATACATGTTCTATGTGGGATTCTGTTTTGTTTTTACTATAATTTTAAACGGTTTAAATAATCTCATATATTTGACGTTGTATGTATTCCGATATATTTGAGCGAGATAAATGTTCTCAATAATTTGGCCAGTATGGATGGTTGAATGTTTATGATCACTTTGTATGTTTCGAATTATTTCTTCACCTTGACTGCTTCCTCCTATCTGACGCTGACTGTACAAAAAGACACTGCTTATTACAATAAGAAATTTGAAAAAAATTATTCCATAAAATTTATACTTAGCTTTTTTCCAGCGGGCCTGGTCCTTAAACATCATGATTTTGCCGGCGTCTGACTTTCCGTCTCATTATAAGTATCATGTAGGCAAGAGCGAATATGCTTTTTTTACGCTGATAGTACGATTTACCGTCTGTCGTCTTCATGGCCGCTTTACACCATGTGGTATTGCGGTACAGTCTGTACTAGTACTTGAAGATACGTTTATGAGTTTGCATATTTCACAGACAACCATATCGTCCCGTGGGTGTTGTAAGAGGCGACAGATGGAAACTGAAACAGAAGATGGTCAGCATTATCTTTCTGATAGTAACTCAGAATCGTAAGGAACTGTGGTTGCCAACCCGCCTTCCAGGCGTTGTAACACCATAGTTCCAATGCCAGCCATCTAAATACTGTCTATGTGGCAATAGTGGACTTTTATAGGTTGTCATGGTAATATTTTATAATATTTTATATATAGAAGTAGACAGAGTGGAAAACGAACACTCAGTCCACCTGATTGTAAGTACATGCTGTGGTTCATAGACATTTACATCTACTATCCATTAAGAATGAAAATGGCAGATGAGAACTAAGATATAATATTGAATAACACGTTAAGACTAAAAATGTTCTACCACAATACAGTTTACAGTTCTGTGAGAGCGCAGTAATTCTCCGGTTGGGTCAACCCATTCCTGTTACAACCATAATTTGCAGCATCTACTACATTAACGTCTTGCAAACTTCTTTTTATTCTTGTTTTTTTTTATACATCTGATTTCAAAACCGTGTGTGTCACTTAGTGATTAATAGGAATTTCGAGAGGCAACTCTATTAATACTGAATAAAATATTCAGGTGAAACAAAGGCATTGATAGGTCTCTTCAGATTTATAAGGCACATCTAGGTCAAAAACCCGGGCGGCGTTACTAAATCTAGGCAAATTCTTTTACATAGCGTGTTGAAAGAACTTCTAGGGGATAGAAATAGATCGTTCCTATAAAAGGTAGTATAATCCAAATTCAGATAAACTTATATTAAAAAAATATCAATAATAATAAAAATAGCAATAATAATGATAAATAAAAAGCGTCAGTAGCCCAATGGCAGGGAGCGGACCGCGAACTTGAAAGGTCGTGGGTTCAAATCCGCCATTTGACTACTGTCGTAAACCACTTCTAACACAAGCATTTTAATGTTTTTTTAGTAATGTTTAATAGCCTTACTAATATTTAAAAAAAATAACGGGCCAAAACCTAAAAGTTGGAGATATTATAATCATTATCTCTTACGAAAACTGAATCCTGAATGAATTATTGAAATTTGATAATTGAAATATTATCATTTCAAAGATCTGTATTTGCAAAAATAATTTGCGAATCAGCCCAAACGTCAAGAATATACAATTATAAAGATAAGTACATAAATGAAACAAAAATAAATTGATTATATTTACGAAAAATGTATGTGTACGTACACAAAACAAAAAAAAATTGTTTTATTAAAATAATGATATACATTGTATAAATACTAGGAGCACGAGCAGTAACTCAACTCTCAACATTTAACAAATGCTAAGCGCTACAGAAAAAAATCTGTTTTTACTGAATTCTTTTCCATTTCTGACATGATTTATGAATGTGTAGTGTATGCCATAATTTATACGAGTATCTCTCGACATAGGGTTGTCAAGGGATTTAGATGGTGCGTGAAAATCTGCGGCTCTTAACCTTTTTGCCTGTTAACGTGTACTAATTTTATTAATTCAATTTGATTAAAACTCGTTGTTCACCCTTAGTTGCCCTATACTAGGTCAAGCTATGAAAATTTTAAATGATGTAAATAATATGAGTTACTTTTACATAGCAGTAATGGTGACAAACGAGTACACATTCCACCTGATGGTAAGTTGATGCTGTGATTAATAAAACATTAATATCTTTCAACGAATTAGAATCAAAATACAGAGGCGTGTCAACCCTGAGTGATAAGATGGAATGCCTCGTTACAACTTAAAAAGGTTTCAGATTCTAGTCACTTTCAATACGAAACGTAGGAGCATTATGTTGCTAATTCATGCTGGTATTTTGTGCGAGCATGGTACCCACCCCGGTCGAGCTAACCCATTTGTACTGCAGCAATATATAGCTAGAGCGTGGCTCTACCACGCAAGATATGTCTTTTGTTTGGATGTTTGTTATTCAATCACGTTTGGAGAGCTGATCGCAATCTTAATAATATTATAATATTATAAATATTAGACATAGAGTTGATTATGAAATGAAATAGAACATTTTGATAACAATTATTACCAATATTTTATTTACACCAAGCGAACAATAGCTACTGTGCAGTGTAGTGGTGGTGTAGAGAGAATCCACTAGCCCATGCAGTGTTACCAGATGAGACAAATGATATTACAGTGTTTCATGCTCAAATTTACAGTGCTTACGACAAAATTACAGTAAAAGTAAAAAAAATACAGTGAATTTTACAGTAGATTTCAAGAAACTTTTATTATCTTTTATAAACTAAAATACTGTTTTAATTTCACCTTTTGTAATTTAGAATAAGCATAATATCTATATATAATTATTCATTAATCAATCACTGTCACTATCATGTAGCCCGATATCCGCTTCTTTTTTGTAGATCCCATAATTAAATGATTTTATCATTTTCTCAGTTGGTTTAAAGTTAACGCAACTGGTGCTGTGACGCCGAATGGTTTGTTGCGCTAACATGTTGCCTCTTATCGTCCTGGTAATTAATCTATTTCGTTTCTTGTTTTCGGTGTCGTTAATTTGACTGAAAATTCTCTCGCATTCCGCATTGGAGTTAGGAAGAGCCATGATGTTGAGCATGTATTTTCCAATCAAGCGGAACTCGTCCAACTGTTTCACCTGAAAAGCAACATTAGTATTAAAAATATTGTATTTTGCAAACGAAAGAAATATATTTCTAAAAAAAAAATACAGACTCTTAGTTACTAACCTTGTGCCAGAATTCATCAGGCCGTATTGCAGCATCGAAATTTCCTTTTAACTTTGGCAATTTTCTCCATTGGTCATCCAAAGCTTGTTGTTCTATCATAGAAGTTGGTGTCAATCTTGGCATTAAGCTTAGTATATTTTGAATTGATTCATCGCGATCTGAGATATTGAGACATGTTTCAGGATCCAATTTGGATATCCCAACCAATACTGGATCATTTAGCGCGAATCTTTTGCGGATGCCGGACGCACGCTTTAATCAAAAAATTTCGGCATTTCTTATTGAAATCCTTTTTTTTCTCTGCTGCTATTTCATTTGTTGAAAACTGTTTAGATACTCCCAAGCCCAGGTAGATGTCATCCAAATTTTTGAAATTGTTTTCGTCAGTTGGGTCAATTTTTTCTAGTTCATTGTTTGCAATATGTGCCGTTGTCATATATGTCGATAAAAGTTCGTGAAAGAGATCGTTCATTTTAGTGTTAAGTTTTGTGATCATTGGAGTTTCACTCTGAAATAGCATATTAGTTTCAGTAAATTTAAGTAACATCCAGTTTAAAAAGAAAAAGTATAATTTTGTTATGGGATTATTCAACTGCATATGGATTTCGGAAGCCATCTTCCATCAAAAAACAGTGTTAGTGCATTCCACTGTTCTAAAATTCTTTGCACTACAGCACTTAGTGATAACCATCTCGTTTGAGCCGGTTTCAAAATTTTGTGTATATCTGTTTCTGTGAATACTTGAAACTCTTTTAATAGCGATTGTCTTTTGCTACTGATCGCAAAATAATTGTAAATATCACGTGTTAGCTTTTCACATTCAGCTGGTAACTGTTTGCATGCGTCACTCGAACAAAGATGCAGGGAATGACAAACACATTTAAGAACGATAATTCCGCGACATTTTGCTCTAAATCTACTCGAAACAGAGTTGTAACACCCCATCATGGTATTACATCCGTCTGATCCAAATCCTATAATATTTTCAATAGGAAAAGAATTTTCCTCGAAGGATTTTATTACTGCTTTGAAAAGATGTTGTGTTGTGGTGGTAGCTACCGGAGCAGAGTTTTCCTCGCCATGTATTTGAATTAGGTCCCAAAATCTGCTAACAATTTGACCTTTTAGTGCACAGTAATATCGAACCACAACACACATAGTTTTTACTGCTCCGATATCAGTGCTTTCATCAATCATGACAGAGAATTTTTGCTCCTTTAGATCTGCGCACAAATCTTGTTTTTCCGATTCTCCTAGATTATTGTTTATTATTGCTTGACATTTTGTTCTCTTCATTTTGATATTTTTTGCAATCTGAGAGTCAGGAAACATAGAGGGCAATAAATCAACTAAGTGGTCCATCACCCTCATGGATATTTTATGCTCTGCCATAAAAGCGGCCAACTTTATCTCAGATGCTTTGCATTTATCATCATCGGACTGCTTAACCTTTTCAAATGCAGTAGCAATCGAAGATTGAGCTGGCGCTGCTGTAGTTCGTTTTACATGCTTAGCACCTTCACCATGTCTTTTTATCACTACTCTGTCAGCTATCAATTTTGCATCACACATAATACAAACTGCACGATACGGGTCTTTTGGGTCACGTCTCAGCCAAGTTTTGAAACTATTGTCTTTTAACCACTCGTCTCTGAATTTTTGCATTTTTGCAAAGAGGTGGTGTGGGCTCTAGTAGCCAGTTGCGTTTTTTTATGTTCATGTTATTTTTTCTTTTCACAAAGGCTGCGTTCAGTTTACATTAAACTATTTTGATTTTTGCCTGTAGAAAATTACAGTGCTCTCCATACACTGTAATTTTAGTATTACAGTAGACAGTAGAGTAGTAGTTCGGAACTATTCTATATAGATAGTATATATATACTGCTTTAACTTCGGAACTTTGTTAGCGCGATTTAGGCTTCGATGCGTTTCGCTTGTGGCGCGACGACAGCGCCGCCACAAACTTAATAACTATTATTAAAAATTGCGATTGCCTACCTATCCGCCAAGAGTAGATATAAATAAAATAAAAATGTCTGTCTATTACATTTGCATGCTATTAAGACATGAATAACCATTTTAACTTTAAATTAAAAAAAATAACATTGGAATGGCCAGAGAGCAATGCCAGGAGTGATCTAGACTATATTTTATGCGAAAGACATGGATTTAAAACATTACGACAAATTGTTAGAACAAATGGTCTTTGAAATATTTTAAAACTAAATAACGTCATATTAATAGATCGCTAGTAGGCGAAGCCAGCTTGCTAGTGGAAAACATAAAACGAAACATTTAAAATTTAATTAACGTGTACTGTCCATTGTTTCCAGGTGTATAGACCAGTGGTTCGAGGTGAACAGATCGTGCCCCGAGCACCCCGGCGACTAGTGGGCGGGCGATCGAGCCCGCACTTTCGCGAGTGATACAGACAGACTGCGCCCCCAGGGCCTTGTAAATATAATATGATAGTGAGATGTTTTACCATTTAATGAATTTAAACAAACATAAACAAAAACAAAGACATTGCAACGCAACGCTAACGGGAAAATTCGGTGGAGTTATTCAATGTACATTTTACATCACGAGTTTCGTTCGTTTTAATATATAGTTCGTTTCGATTATGTATAATAATGGTATATACGTTGTATAGTATATTATGTAAAGTGAGTTTTCGTTGGCAGTAAGGTTAAGCGAGGTTATGTTAGTGCCAGCACTGTGATGTTCTAGCGGTTCACATATCGGTTCCGTAAGCTTATATATAAATATATCATTTGATCTTTTTCATCTCGATAAATAAAGTTGATTTGTTTTTAAATTTTCTACAGTTGTTTTTTTTTATATACCTTTGTACTTGTTACGTTAGATACCCGCAGTAGGACCAGAGTAACCGACATAGCCCAATACATTAGTAAGCAGATGTGGCAATAGGCCGTTCATACAGCTCAAAGAACCGACAACCGATGAAGACGAATGGTTCTCGAGTGGTAGCCTCGTACTGGTAAGCGAAGTATATGGCAGCCCGTCACTAGATGGAGTGACGATCTGGTAAGATATGCAGGCATAGCTCAGGATCGTGTTTGGTGTCATTTCTTGGGGGGGGGGGGGGGGGCTATGTTAAGCAGTGAAATTGTTTTGGACTAGAGGAATTACCACAACAGGCTCAACACTGTCTTTTTAGGATTCGTAGAATGACTGTGAAGTTAGTCGCCGTAGTACTTTATACTGCTAGAACGAGTGGGAGGTAGAGTCTACCTCCCACTCGTTCTAGTAGTATAAAGTATAAAGGAAAATACGAAGAAGTGATCTTCGTATTTTCCTTTATTTTCTACCCTCATATCTAACATACTTATTACCCGTGAACAAAAAGTTTATTAGTGTTGACGTCATAGCACACAAGCGCAAGTCGCGGTCGGCAGAAGTGCGAAGGGTGATTATTGGCAAACCTTTTGCGCGTGGGTTATACCTAATAACAATCGGGTATTGATGTGTAGTGTGGTAAGTGTTTTCATATACAGTAGAGCCACGCGGCAGCTTTTGCTGTCGCACGGATGGGCTGGCTCGAACCGGGGTGGTACCACGACCTCACAGAATACTAGCGTGAAGTAGAGGTTTACCTCTGCGTTTCGCTTGGTGAGTGCAGGTGGCCGGAGGCCCTTTTTACTGGAAATGAGGCATTCCATCTTAGTCCTCACGGGTGGCAACGCATCTGCATTTTTATTCGCAAACGAGGATAGATGTAGATGTCTATGGGCCGCAGCAACCACTTACCATCAGGTGGACTGTGTGCTCGTTTGTCACCCTTATCCTATAAAAAAAAGCATTTATAATAGATCAGAATATCGTTTATACTGACGATTGTTGTGATTGGAATTTCATTGTTCATCTGAAGAGAAATGTTAAATATGGTTTCTATTTTTGTGTCTGTTACTAAAATTTTTAACAAATAATAGTCCTTGACATATTTTTTCATCTTCAATAAACCTCACGTGAGACAGCAACAATGCTTCATTAGTTAGTAAAGTGGACTCATCCAGCTGAATTGAAAATTGATTAGTCTTCAGATGATTGCACAATGACTCTTCAATGTTTTCGGGGATTTCATCAATTAGTCTTTGCACAGAACTATTGTTCAAAGAAATTTTTCGAATTATGTCTGGTGCCGCTTTATGGAGCACAGTAGTTATAACTTGTTTTATTGCCAGCAAAATTAACGTTTCTCCGATAGTGTGTTTGAGCAATTAACAAAGTGATATTGTATGAAGCTCGAAGTCCGTCATCGTCTTGTTTAGCAGCCACCGAAAAAAGTTTTGATACACTTGACTGAGCATTATGCTTCTTTTCCAGATCTTGAAAATAAGCTACATTTTGTCCTTCTCATCTGGATGCATTTTATTCAAATGATCTTGAAGTCTTGAAGGCTTCATTGCTTCGTTTGAAAATGTTGTAGAACAAAGAAGGCACAAAGGCAAAGATGGATTTGTCGAATTTTCTATGAATCCATATTCAATATATTCTGCACTATATTGCCGTCTCTTTTTTGCTTCCGACGTGGCTTTGTATTTACAAATATGTAAACTTATTGTACTTGTTTAAAAATTGCGCGCGATACCACTAAAGAAAATATAAAAATTATTATGAGCGTTTATATAGGATTTACATACAGCACGTACCGACAGCAATAAGACGAACACGCACGAAGTTAAGACAAGTATCGATGAACCAGACGAATGCTACCGGATTGCACCAATAGCGTTATTTAACGAAAAACTTGTTGCAACTTGATTGCGTACGGCGTACAGGCTCTCCTACGAAATCTATGTTAAGTATTTCTAGTTTATATACCATCATATAGGGCAGAAATATAAACTAATTATTCGATATTGAGTAGTAGCGTAGGTAGTGCTTGGCGAGAATTTCCTAACCTGTTCGATCCTCAAGCACTAATTAATTTTTTAATTGCTATTTAAAGTGCTCGTGTTCGGTGATGAAGGAAATATCGCGAGGTAACTTGTATATCTGACTAACAAAAATATTTTGAAGACCTATAAAGTCTGCCAAAACGCACTGAAGAAGTGCGACGGACTTCTTTTATCTTCATTGCTCCAAAACCCTCTCAGAAGTAAGAGGAGGTACTCGGCAAAGTACTTTCTGGTCGGCTCGATCCATTAGCGAATAGATGTAGATGCATGCCTTTGCATTTCCTAAGTCATTTATCACGTAGTGCTTAGATGACTTGTTCGGATTAATTCCACCTGCCAAATTCTACCATCGCACATCGCGACAAAACTCACGATACCACACCATTTAGATGCTTAGCGGTTCACCCTAGTGCGACTTACCAGGAGTTTTCTACCTCACAAGATTTCTTTGTGATATCGGCTACCACCAGCGGATGACTTAGGGACCGCCAAGAATATTCTTTCTAAAAGGCCGGCTACGCAGCTGCGATTTTGCGATTTTTCCCCAAGGGTTACAGTTGTTCATAGGTACTTACCGCCAGGAGAGCCGCATGTTCGTTTACTCTTCTAGAACAAATAATAATAATTTATTTCAACTTTAAAACATGGTAGAGCCATACTGCAGCTACATAATGATCATATCAGGAATTTGTCGGCTCGACCGGGGATGACCCCGCTCTCACAGAATACAAGGGTAAAATAGCCGCTTAGTGCTGCTGTGTTTTAATTGGTGAGTGTAGACAAGTGTATACACTTTTCCCTGAAAACTATAAAAATGTTATAATAATAATAAAAAAAAACTAAAATTAAAAAATATCTAATTTGTTTTGTAAACGACATGAGGCTTACTTCTAAACGTTCAGACATAAAATAAGTAAAAATAAGTGAAATGTCTATCGAAATATCCAATGCGGAGGTGTGCCGGAAAATGCAGTCCCAGCGCAAAGACACCGTAAGTATAATAATTATAAAAAAACATTATATAAAAGCCATTAAAGGAAACCAAACATCATTAGCGAGCTTGCAACTTTGTTGATACAAATTGAGTAAAACTTTTTTCATTCCTTACTACCTGGTAAGTATCTACCTCAGTAAAATAGTTTTCTTCTAACTTTATAACTTGATTTATTTGTTTCGTAACGAACCGACTCACAATACATTGAGTTATACGACTTTCCTGCTTCGTAAACATTTCATGTAATATAAAAAAGTTTGCGATTATGTCCTCATTTACCTAAGCAATGGATCATTACAGCCCTTCACAAGTCCACTGCTGAACATAAGCCAACCCCAAGGAATGCCACAAAGCACGATTCTGAGCCACCTACATCAATCGACTTCCTTCACATCCTACACATCTTACCACGTCGTCACTCCAATTAGTGGGACACACACACACACAGACACGCACACGCACCCACGATTACCCACTATAAGTATTTGTAGTCGACTTTAAGAAAGGAGGAGGTTCTAAATTCGACTATATGTTTTTTTAATGTATTTTACGCAACATCTTTGTTGGTTGTGAACCGATTTTAATGATACTCTTTTTCTGCCGCCTTCAAAATGGAGACTCATAACTTTTTACTGGGTGAACCGATTTCGATGATTCTTTTTTTTATTTGAAAGCTGGTACTTCACATGTGGTCCCATATGAATTTGATCAAGATCAGACCAATAGTATTTGAGTTATTCTTAATAATTTATATTCAAGTCGGCTGTGAAATTTTTTTAATTTTAAATTATATTAAATAACTTATAATTCACGAGTAGTCATATTGATAATGAATTTGGCGAAAAATTCCATCCCCTAATGCTGGTAAATAGGATAACTAGGCTTTATATGACAATGAGGTAAACCCGGTTAGCATATCGCCTCTGTAAGTTTCAATAGTACAGTAAAAAAAATAGCCCCATAATAATACTTATTATTAATATTATACTTACGGTGTCTTTGAGCTGGGACTTCATTTTCCAGCCTGGAGAAAAATACCGTAGAAGACCGTATCGCAAAGGCAAGAGCCTTCATCGGCAGACTGACAAGTTTCAGGTTGGGTAATAACAGACCAAGAGTTGTGCGCACTGGCAGGATGGCGTTTACTAGGACAGATGTCAGTTGGTCCCAGCCGGATATTACGCAAAAACTGACAGAACGTACAGACGACCTGAAGCAGAGAATCGCTGCTTGGGTCGGCTCGAGGCTCGAGGAAGGACCACGCTCTCACAGAATACCAGCGTAAAATAGCCGCTTAACACTGCTGTGTCTCGTATGGTAAGTATAGAGAACCGGAGACCCTTTTTTATTGGAAAAGAGGCATTCCATCTTAGTCCTTACGCATATGCATTTTGATTCTTTATTGAGGATAGACGTAGATGCAATTACTATCAGGTGGACCGTTTGTCACCTATCCTATAAAAAAGGTCGACACG